CTGTCCATAGTCAGGTGGCTCCAAGGCAAGGTGGCCTGGCCAAGGGACTTCACAGAAGAGAACAGTTCACAGTGCCTCTGAGATGGCACAGCAAAAAGGGAAGAAGAGGTGCAACTCTGTCTGTCGCTTATGTTGTAGGCATGCTCTCTGCCCTAGGGTGGGTATAGCACTCACAATCTTAATCCTAGCCAGAACTATGCCAAACCGGTCAGTGGACTTATTTACTGATCAGAAATCTTTAATCCCAGTCACACACTGTAGATTGAGTCATCTCTGAAAAAGTCCTATGACTCATGGAGTCTTTCAGGAGACATCTAAATATCAACTGTAACACTTATTGATTAATAATGAGTGTTTGGTTAACAGTGGCATTGTGGCATAAATTATGAAATAAAATAGGATTAATGAGCCCTGCCACTGAGAATTGATATTTAAATATGTTGACATATTGAGTATAATTATTGCAAATATTTTTCTGAAAAATATTTATCTGATTAAAGATGTGTAATGTTGATACAATTCATATCAGCAAAATAGCTATAAAAAGCTATTCTGAAAAGTTACGGGCATTTCAGTTTTGCTTAGAAGATAAGATGTAGTCTGCCATGTGGAGTTGGGGAAAAAGGGAGATAAGATCAAGGAAAGGCCGGAGTAAATGTAGTGTGAGAGCAATGTGGGACTGAGCCGATGTACTGAGAGTCATTCTTAGTCTTTGTGCAGAAAAGGTCCAGAAGTGTAAATGACACAATCTTGAAAAGGTAAGTTTTCTTTCAAGTAAAATTTGTAATAGTAATTGACTTATTATACAAAGAATCTATTTGAAGATTTTTTCTAAATTTTTATTAATTTTGAGAAAGAAATAGCAATAAGACAGTAGGATAGTTACAATAATTAATACTTTGCGTATTTTTGTCTTCATAGTAGTTATTCACAGTATAAGATGCAGACATATCTTACCTAAACAATATTATCACCAAACTTTTTTCTCATCGAACTAAGAGAAGGTAGCTCTATCTCTTTCCTAACTATTAGCTTGCTGAATTCAAGTACCTATAATATTTGAACCAGCGTCAAGTATGAAAAGTTCCTTTAAAGACTTCTCCAAATACAGCTTCTTTAACAGTAATGGTACACCCATCTTTGACAAAACAATACAGAAAAGGGGTATAAAAATCAAGGACTATTTTATAGTGAAAAAAATATGTACATGAAGATCTTTTTCTAGAAGAGCACAATTGAAAGATAGTGCTAGAAATGTTCCTAAACAACAATCCTATGACGATTGTAAAAGAAGATTAAACAGGTAAACCAGAAACAATATCAAAGTTCATAAAATAATTCAGATTAAATTAATGAGTCCCTTTTTAAAATCTATACAAATGGCATTTCAGAAATTATATTTCTAAGACTTGGAAATTGACTAATATTAGCCAAAATGTAATGCTGAACTCTGAGCAGATTTCTGTGGAATTAGAACACTTTGTTTGACTATGAGAAGTTGAAAATTAAATCACACTACCTACCTGAGAGTTATGCTCACACTGGGTATTTCAAGATTAAACTGTGGGCAAGCAGAGAATAAATAATCAAAGATTTAAGGGAATTGATGACACAACATAAAATGACACATAGAAATAAAAAGCAAAAGCAGTGATAAAAGATTGAGGAATAGAATGAAAATTTTGTTTTTCTTTTATCGTATAGTTCCTTCCATTCTATTTATAGTTCTGCCTCAGTCTTCAACTTTCAAAATATCTGCTCTCTTCTCTAGATTTCTGGATATTGTGATCTCATCCATCTCTTCTGCTTTTCATAAGAGCACTATCAAATTTCTTGAGTTCTGTAATTTACCACTTTGATCTCACTCTATTAACATCAGCTAACATTAGTGGAAAGATTAGTTACTTCCTTAATGGAAAAACTACCTATCAATTGTAATTAGAAATGACATGATTTATACTACTTAGATAGATCTCTTTCCTATGTGTCTTCCTCTACCTTGTAGAATATGCTTTTCTTTTTAATTATCTCTGAGAAACTAAGATTTAGTTTAGCGGACACTATTGGGGTCTGTAAATTGAGGACACTCTGATTATTGAAGAGTTGTGAGTGAAAACAGGACTCAAAGCAGAAATGAGAGGGCTGGCCAGACAGCTCATTGGATTAAAGTGCCTGCTTAGGCAGACGCAGGGGCTTGCGTTCAATCCCCAGCACGCACAGCCCTGCCCCTGGAGCACAGTGAGGTGGTGAATGAGACTGGACGTGGGGGCGCATGTCTGTAATCCCAGCACGTGGGAGGCTGAAAACAGGAAGATCACTACGAGCCCGATCTATGTAGTGAGACACTGTAGTTCCTGCACTAAATACAAGAAGAAAAAAAAGAGCAGAAATGAGAGAAGAGGGCCATGCTGCTTAGTGTAAGCTTCCCATGAAGGTTTGAAAACAAGATGAAGAAATTCACCAAGGGAATATGAGCCATATGAGAAACCGTTTTATTTCATATTATTGTTTGACAAAAATATTTTAAAATGCTAAAGCAACGTACTTAACAGGTACTTTTAAAAAGCATTTTATTCTTCCCTCACATGTAAAAAATCTTTATTAATTTATATTTAAAACAAAATGGCATGTTTCTATGGACTACCATGTCACGCTTCCATACGAGGACACACTGCAATGTTGAAGTTAACTATATCTCAAAATTCATCATTTTCTTATTATGAAAACATTTTAAAGACTTTTGAAAAACTATTGCCTTCACAATTGATTCTTTAAGCATATTATGCATAGTTACATTATACTCCTTGTCTTAACTCTCTAAAGTGTATATTATTTGAAATTTCACATGGTCTTTTCTCTCTTTTTTTTAAAGTGTTTTGTTTTAACATTGGTTTGCTAATGTCAGAATGTGAGTAGACATCAAGAAAAACTCAATTATAAAATTATAGGCACCTTGCTTGATCATGTGGTTATTCCTAAAGAAATTTATGTTTAACTTGTCTGAAAGTCCTGAATGTGAGACTGCCTTCTACTTTAGCTTTTTTCTTGCATTTCCAGGAAACATGTGTTCACAATTAAAATTCCAAACCTGGATATGACAGAAATTGTGATTAATGTAAGTGGAAAACGTTCCCTGTTTTTTAGGACAGGGAAAGAAATGCTCTTTGTTCTATCTCCTTGTCAGGGATTTGATTGATTATATTATCTCTGTATTCTGAGGGTGGATGTTCCTCAAATCCATGTTGTCTACTTTCTTTATCATCTTTTTATTTCCTGGCTATAGTCTGTGTTAAGCTAAAGAAATCCTTTGATTATTACAATCTGCTAATCCCCAGTGTAAACTTGGATTCTGGTTGCAGATTTTTTCTCTGTTTATACCTTACACCTTCGTTACATGACTAAAAGTTCACTGTTTTATTTATGTCAAATGGGAGGGAGGGAGAGAGAGAGAGAGAGAGAGAGAGACAGAGACAGAGAGAGAGACAGAGAGAGAGACAGAGAGAGACAGGCAGAGACAGAGAGAGAGACAGACAGAGAGAGAGACAGAGAGAGACAGACTTTTGGGGAACTATCTAATTTGTGTTATCAAAACTACATGTGTCAAGTGCTATGATGCCAAAATTTAACTATATTCTAAAATTCCAGATAAACTAGCTACTTTATTTTAAATTCAACAACGAACAATAATGATATTGAACAATTGCTTTCCTTTTATTGCCTTTATCCCGGTATCTTCATTCAACTCATTTATATTATGAATATTCATTCATGTTCCCTTGCACAAATTCCTTTTCCATCATTGTATGCTTCCTTTTGTGAAAATACTTTATTAGGTAATTTCAATGTGATGAATTTATATAATTAACTTGTAATTACAATATAAGGTTTTCTCTTTCCACCAATGTCTCAATTTTTGTGTAATATTTTTATTAGATATTGCCCAATATATTTATACATGTGAAATCTACCTTATAAATAGGTAATAGCTTTCTGTATATGGATTAATTTCTTTACTTGACTAGCAAAATTTTGACATATTAACTTAAAAGATCGACCTAGTTGCTTATGAGGTAGATAATAACGCAATATAGGATGCTGTTGAAATATATGTATATATACTTATATTATTTTTAAAGAGTGTAAAAATTAGAATTAAAATAAACAATTACAAATGATGCAGATTTTCACTTAACAAGGGCCAGCCAAATAGCTCAGCAGATTAAAGTGCCTGCTTAGGCAGATGCAGGGGCTAGGAGTTCTATCCCTGGGCCTGCTGTGTTGACCCTGTCCCAGGGGCATGCTGAAATGGCAGTTGAGACTGGGCGTGGTGGCATATGCCTGTAATCCCAGCTCTTGGGAGGCTGTAAAAAGGCAGAACACTACAAGCTGGATCTAGTAGTGAGAACCTGAACACCTGTAGACCCTTCCCTAAAATGCACACAAAAAAGAAAGATTTTCACTTAACAAAATCATATAAATTTCACAATATTTGCTGTAATACATAGCATTATCATACACTCAGTTATTCATAATTCCAGATAGATGCATGTAAAATTGGAAGAAGAAAGACAAATAGAAAGAAATGTACACAAAATTAAGAATAGAAAAAGGGAAACCATTTGAAAAAAGGAGATGAAACAAATTAAAATGTTCACTGTTTCATTCCACAGCGCAGCAGAAATGCACAATAGAGTTGTCCAAACCGTGCTGCTTGCATACATAGATAAATCTCTTTCCCCCACTCTCTGGAAAAAGGAATGGATTTATTCAAAAGGAAAGAGTTACTGAGTTGAAGAGAAAGACTGGATTATGTTTTTTGAAACATGAATTGTCATTATGGTAACTAAAAGGTGAAAGATTTATACAATCTGAAGAGAAATTGGAGTATAATTATGGTAACTAAAATTTGGGAAAGTATTGGTTTTGACCAAGTGTTTCCATATCACTCATTGTGATTCATATTTGAAAACAAAATTAATTGTTACTCAATTCTTTTTCAGCTCTTCTTCAAGTGACAATCTCACTTAGCAAAGTCGAGCTTAGTGTGGGCGAATCTAAATTCTTCACATGTACAGGTATGTATTCCATGCAAACTTTCAGATAGTTTCCATGTATTTCATAATCGGTAAAATACATTTGTTTAGAAAGAGTTTAAAAACTCCATTTTCTAAAAATAAATTATACATGACTTCAAAACAACCAAAATTAATTAATAGATGTATTTTGCATATTAAATTTCATGGATATTATTTCTATTATATTCAAGTTATTAGTGTTGACTGTCAAACCAGATTATTTTTAAAATAGCATTAAATTATGAATAGCTTATAATGCATGAATAACATCTCAAATAAATTTATACATTTCCACCTAAATAGTAATATTAAGAAAAATGTAAAATTATAACCAATAAATAAATAATCAATAAATTAGATATGGCACAGTGCATTTCATTTACATTTGAAAGAAAATGTTACAACCAAAATATCTGTCCTTTCATAAGGTAAATATTGACCTATATTAGATAATTATTCAGTGAAGAAAGCTTTTCCAAGAGCTATCATTCAAATATTTCAAGTATCATGATAGCTGTAGAAAAATTACATGTGCTTTATTTAGTTTTATCATGAAGATAAGGATTCTTTCAGAGGACATTAAAGTACTTAAGTATCAAATTCTTATTCAGAGTTTGTTAAAACTTTCTTTACACATTTCAAATTTTTTGTGCATACCTAGTTTTATACCTAGAGTATTTAAATGTATTTGTTCTCTGCTAAATTGCTTATGAATAAAATTAAGAATTGTTTTCCTCTTGATTCTAGTTCAACAGTTCAAGTGTCATTTGAAGTAGGTCTTTCTGACAAAATGTGCATTATCTTAAGACTAATGTTTAGGGCTGGGGAGTTAGCTCAGTAGAATAAGCACTTGCCTGGCAAGTGCAAGGTTCTGAGTTTAATCCCTGATACTGCAGAAAAAAAATAATGATGTTTATTTAAATTATTATCAAATGTATTAAAATACAAACATAGTCTTAATATATTTATAAACTATTTCCAGAGTACATGTATGAAAAGTGTACTTTTCTCATATATGAGTAAGAAATGAGTAGCACCTATGATTTTGCATATATCCACCTTCCTAAAGGTCTCAATTCATAGATTTATAAATACACTACAGATTCAAAAATTGTAAATGAAACTGGAGAGGCATGACTGGTCTAACATCACAGATTACATCAGAATAACATCGACATAAGAATATAGTTTTTAAATTATATATCTACATATAGATATATAATTTTTATAGAAGCAGTCATACACATACATAATTATATCATATTGATATAGAATAATAAAATAATTTTAAAATAAATTTTCAAAATATAATTATATTATATTACGTATTGCCATTTCAGTATATGTTACAGTGAATTCTGTGCATTGAATATCATCAACATAAGATATGAGTGAAAAGTACTAAAGAACTTCATGCAGTGACAATGGGCTCCTTCTTGTCCTCCTGTGTTCTGTTGGGAAAGAGTGTAGGTTTACAGAAGCAAACTTGGCACCTGATGTAATTGAAGAACGTGCTGTTCTACTGAATTGCAATCTAGCACTTGATTTTTAAAGTAAGAAATCAAATAAATAAATATTGTTTCCTTTTACATAGAGATGTGTAGAGAAGAGCTGGACCTTGGTGTGGAGGTCGTATAATTTATATTACTAATATTAATAAAACACAAATCTAAAATTTAAAGTTAGGAGAAGTCATGCAAATGAGAATGCTTACGTTATTTTTCTGTTTTTATATAACTACATATAACTTTTTCAGACCCATTAAAAACTATATCTAAATTTATAAAAGAAGCATCTTTGTTTTAAACTGACAGGAAAATGTGCTCTGTGATCTACATAAAAATGTAATTCATAAAGTATCTAAGAAAATAAAAACAAGGTATTTATTAATAATCTGTAAAATAATTTAGTCTTAATATTTATAGTTTCTTTTTTAAAATTATTTTATTGAGAATCAAATAACAATGAGACAGTTTCAAAACCGATTAGTAGGACGCTTTCAATAATTAATACAAAGCATATTGTTGTCTTCTAAGTGGTTATTCGTAGTACAAGATGAAGACATGATAGCCTGTCCACAAACACCATTAGTACAAATCTTTCTATTCACTGAATTAAGAGAAAGTAGCTATATATCTATCCTAACTATTTTGAATAGACAGATACAAAATGGTCCTTCATTTGTATCCCCTTTTTTTGTTTAATTTTGTCAGAGATGGGGATTCCATTGTCATTTAAATATTGTACATGTGTGAAATCAGCAAAATATTCCAAAATAGTCCAGTAGTCCATAATAGTAATGGGTTATCTGTAGGACTGGCAATGTCAGAAGTTGTTGACTAGGGCCAAGGAGATGGCTCAGTAGAATAAGCACTGCCTTGACAAGTACAAGGACCTGAGTTCAATAATTGGTTACACACACACACACACACACACACACACACACAGAAAAAAAAGTTGTTGACTTGAGTCTTTTATAGCTTAGTATATTAATATGGCTTTACTTTTTATATTTCGTTTTTATACTTTTCTGCTGGATGGTTAAGAACAAAATAAAGCAAGACCTATCTAATAAGAAATGTAACTTTTGTACCTGACAAGGTCAGTCAAATCCCCTCAGGATTTACCCTGAAATTCTGTACTGCAGTTTGTAGATCCTTTGTCGGTGTCAGCACTGCAGATGAATCACAGCCATTGCTTGACCTATTTGCTCTCTGTGAAAGCCTGAGAGAATGTTTTCTCTCTAGGTGACTCTCCTTAGGCCCATTATACATCATCAATCACTTTGTGCTGTGGCCTCATAATCTCCTTGATCAGAATATTTGGGATATCACTGAATTACAGAATGTTATAGTACAGATTCTCTCATGTCCTGAGTCCTCACTGACCTTGAATGGTTAGGACCAAAATGTTGGCTATCCTTCTAGCCCTTCTTTTTCTCTAATTTTTGGTCTGCAAACTTAAGTGGTTTACCCTCCAGAAGAGAAACTTAATGATATTATTACACTATACCATAGGCTGTTGAGGTTATCCCCACTACCTGCCTGAATATCAAACATCTTAGGCATAACATGGAACAGGTATTTTCCATCAAGCATTGATATGTTAAACTTTAAATCCCTACAGAATGGGAAGAAAAAAATAAAAAAATATTTTAAAATGGAAAAAACAATTACAGATTTTTACACAGAAATTTAGAAATCTACATGCAGCATTACAACAGGATAGTCCTATGACATTTTTGTTCTTGTCTTTCATTTTCATTTATTACCCTTTCTAAAAAAAAACCATTTACTTGAGAGACAGTATAGCAGTAATTGATATGACATTAGAAGCAGCACATATCTAGAGGACTAGAAGGACAGGCACTCCAAGCATGGCTCTAGTATTACACATTGCTATCTTCAGTGAAGATTCTTAGTTCACAGGTTTCAGCATACATAGTCAGGGTGAGAATCCTACCAATTTGCTGCTAGTTTCAAAAAGCTGCTGAAGATTCTCAGGATCTTTGCCTTAACCATCTTGTGCATATAAATGTATGGTTATTCAAAAGAAGAAATAAAAAGACAAAAGTTATAACACAGTTAATGGAAAGAAAGAAATTAAGGTGGGGCTGGAGAGATGGCTCAGTGGTCTAAAGCACCTACTTAGAACAAGCTTGGCAAAGCATCAGGGACCGCGGTTCGATTCCCCCAGCACCACATGCCAGCCAGCCGCGCCCCCTGGTGGGCTGAGCTGGCCACACACACACACACCTCTCTCTCTCTCTCTCTCTCTCTCTCTCTCTCTCTCTCTCTCTCATAAATAAATAAATAAATAAAATTTTAAAAAAAGAAATTAAGAATTAAATAACAAAAGAGGGCAAAGAGAAAAGCTAGGAAATATGACAGGGGCAAAACCATACATTTATAAGAAAGGTAATTTCTTTCTAAAGTGATTTCATAAGTATAATGCAGAGGGAAAAGTTTTCTTCAGGGAAGATCTTGCATACCTTTAAGTTTATACAATCCCCAGATACTTCTGAGTTAGTCGTATAGGTTACTGAAACAGGTTATTTCTGATATAATTAGATGAAATACATCCACTTTTAACTAGAAGCAAAAGCAGGTCACTGTACCTTTTCCTAACCTACTTTCTGAATTGTAAAACTCAAATTTAATATTTTAATGTTTTCATGGGAATAGGTTAGTAGGATAAGTATCATTTCAGTGTATGGCAACTATTGTCTGATTCAGTAGTTAATCATTGTAGATGAAAAGATGAAACTATTCACTTCTGTTGGAGAAAGGAGACTTCAGATATAGATACAGCTCAGTGCCACAAGTGGCTGCCTGGCAAACATAAGGTCCTGAGTTCAATGACCAATACAAAAAAAAAAAAAAATGCAGTCTTGAGTTGGACAAAGAAGTCAGCATTTCATTTTAATAATGGTTACTTTTTCCTTTAAAGGTACAATTTGAGAAATTAATTCAAAATTCAATTATTATAGGTCAAAATTTACTTTATAAATCATTTATGTTTTTGTAAGCTCTTTTTTAATAGGGAAAGTATTCCTATATCTTCACTCAAGCAAAAAAAATTTAACATGGGGAGTTATATTATCATTCATATTTGTGTTTAAATATACCTGTCAACTGGTTTTATGTCTGGCACATACAGCCTTAATACTTAAATATAAAGAATGGATTTATGTTATAAATAATATAAATAATCCATGGATGATTGATGTACTCAAAACTTAAAGGCCATATGGAAACTTTCTTTTTGATTTTGGATTTTGTTTTCTTGAACAGGATTGAGTATTCCTTGTTGGGTTAATAAAGATGAACTTTTGTGCTAACATTTGTGTTTATCATCAAATTGGTATAATTTTCAGATCTTCAGTATTTATATTTTTTCTAAATTTATTATCATTGTGCTTCATATTAAATGTCACTGCCAAACAAAGCCGTGAACATGTTTCCCAATGTTTCTTTTCCGTGTCTCTGTGCAGCAATTGGTGAACCTGAGACGATAGATTGGTATAATCCTCAAGGAGAGAAGATAACTTCCACGCAGAGGGTGGTGGTGCAGAAGGAATTGGGCCGGTCACGACTCACCATCTACAATGCAAACATAGAAGATGCAGGGATATATCGTTGTCAGGCAGCAGATGCCAAAGGACAAACACAAGAAGCGACAGTAGTTTTGGAAATTTACCGTAAGTCCTGCATTTGTTAGTTTAATTGTATTTTTTTATAGACAATTCTAAGACAATATGTTGAATGCAAACTGACACTCAAGAACAAACTATGTGCTGTGTAACTTTCTAAGACATATGTCCCACCTCTGTACATCTTAAAATACATAGTAGGTAATAGTAATAAATCTATAAAGATGGCTAATTCTATTGGTTAAATGACATAACAAATATATTTCAATTTTACCAGTACATTGATCCTTCTTTAAGTAATTAATTTATTATTTGCTAATACAACTATACTTACATTTATTTATTTATTTATTTATTTATTTATTTATTTATTTTTGGTGGAACTGGGGATTTAACTCAAGCCCTTGTGCTTGCCAGGCAAGCGCTTATTCCACTGAGCCATCTCTCCGGCTCCCTGAACTATACTTATACTAAATTTTAATTTTAAAATAAAATATCATGATTTGAACAAGTTACGTGTGTCATAGCTTTACCTTTCTAATGGCAATAGCATGAAATCTTGGAGAAAAGAGAATGAAGGAGAACAAAGGAAAAGAAAGCTAAAATCTAATCTAGTAGAGAATATCTTGTCACGAATCCTCCCATCAGATTTTCCATTGACAAAATTTTCAATATGTACGCTTCAATTTATGTTTCAAATGGATTATGTTCCATGTCTATTTCTTCTTTCTTGTATTTAAAAATCATTAACTTGTGATTTCATAGGATCACTGTAAAATAATTTCATAGAATCACTGTGAATACTATAAACCACCTAAAAGCAAACTCTATAAATTACTACCATGACCTTTTACAAGTTTCCTAGTATCTGTAATCTGTGTCTCAATCTATAAATAGGTCTACTAAAACATCCATCGTACTTGGAGTTGTTTTGATGATTACATTAAAAGTACATGAAGTATTCACAGTAAATCCTCACCACAACTCCTGGCAGTTAGCACTGATACCTTAAAATATGTACATTTTTAGAATCTTTCATCCTAAGCAGTCAGTTCTTTATACATTTATATTTTATGATTCTAGAAGTAGGATAAGAGAATCTCAAGTGATTCCCATAGCAAGGTTTCTTGCTAGCTAACAAAGCATCTGTTGATATGTATATTGGCCTCATTTTTCTCTCATTTGCATCTTCTGTTCACTTTAAGCTCCCTCCCAAAACAATGTGGTGTTTACAAATGCAACTGATATTTTCACTTGTGAGTCTAGTCTCTAGTTGCATCTGCTTCTATATAAAAGTCTCCATCCTGACTTCAATCCCTGGTACCATAAAAAAAAAAAAAATTCTCCGGTTTATTCCTCTTTACAGCTGAGTAGTATTCCGGTATATAAAAATGCCACCTCTTTTTTATCCATTTCTCGATTGATGTGCATTTGGGTTGCTTCCAAGGTTTAGCTATGGCAGTGTGTGCTGCTGTAACATGGGTGTACACATATCACTCTGCTACGGTATTTTCAATTCTTTTGGGAAAATAAACAGAGTTCCCCAGAAGGGGGCTAGTTGGGTTGAATGGCATCTCCAATCCTAGTTTTGTGAGGGAAACTTCACACTGATTTCCATAGTGGTTGCACCAGCCTACACTCCCACCAGCAGTGGAGAAGGGCTCCTGTGGGGTTCCTTTTCTTCACAGCCTCTCCAGCATTTGCTGTTAGTTGATTTCTTTATGATAGCCATTCTTGCTGGGGTGAAACAATATCTCAGTGTTGTTTTAATTTGCGTGTCTCAAATGACCAATGATGTTGAACATTTTTTCACACATTAATTTGCTATTTGTATTTCTTCAAATAGAATGTGTGGTTTTTCAGTATTTCAAATGAGCAAGTGAAGGTTTCTTTATTTTTGTGAAGATTAAAATGTAAAGTAAATATTGAGGTTCATACAATGCTTTGTTTTTAGAAAAATTCTCACCAAGAACAAATATCCATGTTCTTTTCATTAAAAATAAAAAAAAAATTCCACCTAATACCAATCTAAGACCTATGAAACAAAAACCACTATTTTACAAAAAAAAAAAAAAAAAAGAATGTAGTGTAATACATGCTATGAAATTTTAAGGAAAATAAATTAATTGCACATATAAATTAAGAAAAACTGAAGGGAAGATATATTGTTATTTAGTAGGAAGTAAGGCTTTGTGCAGAAGCCAGTGAATTTTAGGGAATAAAAACGTCTGGGACAAGAACAACCCTAGAGTGTTTAAGTGAGTAGAAGGTAGAAATTGCTCGTGGAGAACAGTGACCAGGACCGAGCGGAAACCAGGATCAACCTGGCGAATTGACCTCCAGCGCTGCTGAGTAGGTCCTCACATGAGATTACTGTGCATTGTGATGACTGGACTTTATTCTCGGTGTAATAAGAGCTTTGGAGAAGAATTAACGTATTTGGTTGGAGGTTTTATTTATTTGTTTATTTTTATTTATTTATTTATTTTTGCGGTACCAGGGATTGAACTCAGGACCTTGTGCTTTCCAGGCAAGTATTTATTCTACTGAGCTTTCTCCCCAGGCCTTTGGTGGAGGTTTTAAGAGATCTAGGTTTACCTAATCATTTTGCCATAGTAAAATATTTGACATTTTTGTTATTTACTGTTCAAAATATGTTATGCTAAATATTTATGCTTCATAGGTTAGTATATATTATTGTGAAAAGTAGTAATTCTTTTATGACCTATTTTTTTTTTCCTGGATACAGAGAAACTCACTTTCAGAGAGGCGGCATCGCCTCAGGAGTTCAAGCAGGGGGAGGACGCTGAGGTGGTGTGCCGAGTCAGCAGCTCGCCTGCACCTGCTGTCAGCTGGCTGTACCACAACGAGGAAGTCACCACCATTCCCGACAGTTAGTATTTTGGTAACTCCCTAAGTTATATGTTCTCAAAATACTGCTTCCTGTGACAACACTGAATGCATGTGGTTCATTAAATAAAATGTTACTTTTGACATTTCTATAATCATTGTAATTTTGTAACAATAATTTTAAATATTTTAAAGTTATTGTTGAGAGATTGGCAGTCTATGGATGTCAGCCTAAGTCAGAACCTGGTTTTCCTGTAAAATGTTCTCAAACATAGTACTGTCTAATTGTCACATATTGCTATCTCTTCTTTGCTGGCAGAGATCGGCCACTGTGACAAATGCTTTGCCTTCGAACGCCTGTGACAGTTATCATGTGGCTATGTATAGTAAAGTTTCTTTACTTATTGTCTACTTTCTTGGCCAACAATAGACTTTGCAACAACAAAATGTAAGGAATGTTGTGCATCCTGATTTGACATGATATAATTCAAACATGATTCTATGAGCTCAGAATAAGTAAACACCCTTAGGAGTCCTGTTCATTATTCTGGGGCTGTTCTTTCAAAGATACCTACACGTTCTAAATATTGCAGAAAATTACGTATGGATAATAAAAGTACATTCATTCAAATTGTCTTTATGGATTCAGATAGAGCTAAATCCCAGAATAATATGACATTTGAAATTGAAAGCACAATTTGCTTGTATTATGCTTCTTTACCATTGTGCAGAGGGAGCATTTTCAAGTTAGAATCTTTCCTGCAATGCACCTGCACTGCACAGAGGTACAAAATAATTGAATCTTTAAAAGTATTTTCTATCTTGGATGATTTCTTTTTGTGTTTCCAAGAGATGAAAGTTCTACAGCATAAAGGACAGAAAGTAGAGTATCTATTTTTATAAACGTAGAGAGAATACCATAATCATGTTCAGCAGTCATTTTTAATGTAAAGTGATCTTTCTGAGGTTGGCACGTTCACAGCTTGTCAGATTTTAACAAAGACTCATTTTTAATGAGGAAATCATACTTAATTTCCACTTGTTTTATTTCATGTACCTCCTTTCAACTTTATTAACAAATCCTGTGAGTAAGTTGTATGATATATTACAGCTTTCTTCTTCTTTTTTTTTAAATTTTTTTAATTATAAAAAGGTGATTTGGGGCAGCCTGATAGTTCAGAGGACCAAAGCACCTGTTTAGGGAGAGCACAGCAGCAGGCGTTAGATCTCTGGCCTGCAGTCCTTGCCCAGTTCCGGGATGCACTAAGAGGGCGATTGAGACTGGGCATGGTTGTGCACACCTGTAATTCCAGCATTTGACAGGTTGAAAACAGGAGGATCACTATGAGTCTGATCTGAGACCCTGAACACCCTGTAGACCCTGCCCTAAATACAGGAAAAAAAAAGGGTCATTTTTTCTAAGCGTTAAATAACAATGTCTAAACATTTTCAGATTATTTGATATAAAGGGTAATACGTATGATTTATCGTAAACCTTATGAACATGAAGATTTGAAGCCAATTATATTTTTAAAGATGCATGCAGAACAAACGCCTTGCAGGAAAGACAATAGTTAAGGAAAGGCTGAGAGGTAAGGCCCCGGGAACGCACATGTGATTTTCTGCCCCACAGCACACACTTCTCCCCAGCGGCCAAGGCACAATGTTGCTAGCCTACAGCCCCTGCCTTCCAAAGGCCTGAGACATTGGAGACATTTCCTAATTGCTATGTTCCTAAATCATATTTTTCCTCTGTAAAATTAGAGTTTTTCATTTAAAAATTTTTGGAAGTTTGGAAATTACACGTTACACATCTTTATCTGTTTATTAACTTAGAATCTAGGCACAGAAAGTCCCAAATAAGCTATTTGTTTAGGTGCTGAGTTCTCAGTAAGTTACATGTACCCATTTATTTTTCTCATTTTTTCTTATTGAACTTTTAAGGTCTTTGCAATTAGGTTTACTAAAATTACAAGTATATAGGTTATACTTAAAGAGAAAATGCAATGTAGAAAAAGCTTAAAAATGAAATATAGCTTGATGGTGGGCTACAAGAACAAAAATAAAAAGTGAAAGTGATTATTTCTTCTTCTTCTTCTTCTTCTTCTTCTTCTTCTTATTATTATTATTATTACTATTTTATTTTTTATTTTTGCAGAACCAGGGAATGAGCTCAGGCTCTTACACTTGCCAGGCAAGCACTTATTCAACTAAGCCATCTCCCAGGCCCCTTGATCGTTCCTTATTGTTACTTAAATTATGCAAAAGAATTGTCAGACTTTTTAGCATGCTGAAATTAGCTAAAACTTGCCACATATTGTTATTGAACAATTTGTGTGTATATCATGGTGCACAAGAACTAATATTCTTTATTTTATATAGTATCTTTTTATTGCTAATGGAAGATTAATTTTGGAACTGAAATAAATGCAACTAGAGATTCAAAGAGCAAAGATACAGAGAATCTAGGTGCTTTCAGTTGTGCTAATCTGTAACCCAGACAAATTTTATATATTCCAAATCAGATAATGAAGGGTTATAAACAATCAGTAGTTGTGCTTTTGATAGTAACTGTGTGACATACATCCAGAGCTACAATTACTCCAGAATAATTTAAGTAGTAGTTTTCTGTTGCCTGTATTTAAAACATTAGTGCCTTTATTTAAAAAAAATGAAATATCTTCATTAAAAAACATAGAGATCATTTATTCAGTAGTATCTGATTTAATTTGTTTTCTAATTCTGATTATTAAAATTAGGTTTCAATTTTAAAGAATAAAAACAGATTGCACCACTCACTTTCAAAAAGGAGACCAATGTGCTAAAGATTCCAAGAACATAGCAAGTAAACACAGCATTCTGTTTTCATCAAAGGTGAATATTCTGGCTTTCAGTGACATTTTTACTTACATGGAGGGAAACACAGATGCTCGCTCAACACTGATTAGGGTAAAACTTAACCATGAGCTCTGTAAGTACTTTTCCTAATATCTAAGGGTAGTTAGTATTTTATCCAAATCAGTAATTATGCATGAAATCATATGTTTCAATAAAATTGGCATAGAATCTGTTTCTATTATAAATATGTGCATTTAACATTTATCACTTACCAACTTCATGGTCTCTAAAATTCTAGTGATTGTTGATTGCCAGTCAGCAAGAAAAGCACGTTCACTGTCTTGTCCAGTGGGACAGTCGATGAAGGTCACTTGGGAGAGGAGCAGGGAATGGAGGAGGGGACAAAGGACAGGAGACACGAAAAATGGAGACAAGACAGGAGAGTCTGTTCAAGATTTGTTTATTCAAGGGAGATGCTGGATATATACAGGGAGTGTAGGAATGAGGAAGTCTCGGCTCTTGAGGTCAGCAGGCATCTAGGCAATGGAGGAAGGTCCCACCCCTGGGGCATAGCATGTGATTCACGGGGAATGGGCAAGGCGAGAAGGAGCAGAAACTTAACTCAGCAGAGGAATAGAAACTTAAGAAAATGGCTGACACTATTATAAAATGGATACCAGTTAATGGCTTCCCACAGTTCACTGTCCTCAAAGTAACAATAATAACAACAACCATAATAATAGACTACAGATACAGGTAAATCAGTGTCACTGTCAGATAAATCACTGAATTTATGTTAAGGACAGTACAAAAGAACAGTATGGAAAGGAAAGAATTTTTGAGCTACTTAAAGTGAGAAAGAATGTGAAAAGATGCCCACTAGGGAGAAAATACCATCTTTAAATATAAATGGCTTTTAGGTAAGAAAGTGTAGCAAGGTTTTCCCAGAGGAGAGGACAGGGGGTGCAGTGGCCAGAGGTAACAGGCAGCATGTGTGGCACACACCAGACTAGAATAATTTCATGACTTCTAGAAGTTATAAAAGTCTTACATTTGAGTCATAAAAGTCATTACAATTTGAGAAGATTTATAATAAGATAAGTATAACTAATACACCTTAATCAAGAGTTAACAGGAAGAAAAGATAGGCAGGAAACAAGGCCTTGACATTTCTGTTAAAAAATTTGGAATTTTTCCAGAGGGAAATCTCTGAATGGTTGTAATGAAGGAGGGACATGGTCTAATGTGTATTTGAAAATGATATTAATATTTCTGTTAAGAAAATTACTTGGATGGAATTCAAGGCAAAACTGCAGGTCCTGAGAACAGCTCAGATCCTAAGGGAATAGCTGCTGAGAGAGTTTTCTAGTGACGGAAAACCTGTTAGAGGTTTTGGTGATGACAAAAAGCTGTCCCTTGCAGCACATGTGCCAGGGTTCACCACCACTGGCTTAGACTAAGTGATGATAAAGTCAGAACTGACAGGAAATGGAGTTTTGTTGGTTATGCCAACTTGGAATAGATATGTGAAGGATGTCTTAGAATTTGACTTGCACAAAAAGTTCCATCCATTGTGTAATTTTTCCATAAGTAAATAGTTCCATATAAAGGCATTGTAAGGATAGATGAATACAAACTGAAGAAAGGCAGGTGGACATATTCAGCTAAATTTGAGAGAAGCTTAGAACAAAGCACTTACATCTCTTCTAATGAGATATACCTGCAAGACAGTTAAACAGAGTTACACAACACACAGGCATAAACTGATCTGAGGAAAAACTGTGAGTCATCCAAATGTAGACAGTGATTGAAGCCAGAATGTCAGAGGACAGAAAGCAATAGTAAATGTAAAATGAGCTCAAAAGAAAGGACTTAGAAATAACTTCATTAAGGGCCACCAGATAGCTCAGTGGACTAAAGTGCATGTTTAGGCAGAGCACAGGGTCGGGGGTTGATCTCTGTCCTGCTGTGCTGGCCCTGAGCAGGGATTTTGGATTTCCACTCCTTGTGTTCCTTCTGAGTTATCCTCAGAATCTCCACATCCAATTCCCTTCAGTCGTGTCTTCCACAACAAGCGGCTTCTTGCTTCTCTGTTTCAGTGGCCATCTTTAGCCAAATGCATCCTGAATGTGCCATTGCCATCCCAAGGTTCTCCTGTCTCATTATCACAAGTTCATTCCTCAATCTGGACAGCGCGTTGCCATAGTGACTTATTTCTTGGTCGTAGCTGTTCATTTGGCAACAAGAGTACACAGAAGAGTCTAGTCTGTAGATTTTGATACCCAGGTGATGGAACTTCTATCTGCTTTATTGTTGACCTCCATGATTTCTCTAGCATCTGAGTCAATGCAGGAGATAGGTAAGAACAATAAATATTAGAACACGTTGAAAGGGTAACCACTAGACTATAAGTGTCCTAAGTACTGTACACCCTACATAATCTGCAATTCTACCTGACTGAAAGGCCGAAAGTAGATAGACTGTGTTTTTTAAAAAAACAATGTATTTTAAATACTATCTCCAGTGTGATACTCAGTAATATTCATAGAAGCAATAATGAAATTTTAGATATTGCCTATACAAAATATTTCAAAATATAAATATAAGAAAATTCTTGATCTAAGAAGACAAAAAAGAATTTTAGAATTCCAATTAATTTTGGTACTCACAAAGGATACCAGACTTACAAAATAATGGAATGTTGCAGTTGTATATTTTTAATTATTATAGAATACTATTTTACACAATGAGTTAAAATGAAACCTCTGTACTCGTTTAATTTGTATGCAATCAAGGTTGCACATATATATGCACACAAACAAATAGAATGAAAATAAAATCAAAATCTAATTTATTCATTGCAAAGGAATATTTTGCTTTAACCACGCAACAATTCCAGACAAAAATGTAAGCTAAAAATTGTAAATTGTTGACCTTGTAAATATTGAGCCATCAGTTAATTCTGCAGAGTCTGAAAAACTATTGTCTTATTGTTGAGGTAGAATGTTCAATGCATTTTCTAACCCTTCTAAATTTCCGAGTTTTCACCTATTTGCCATCAGAAGTTTCCATGTCTGCAGTATGTAATTGCATTGCATTGTTCTTTTGTGCACCATTTCTGCATTCAGAACGCCAAAGAGAAAATAATAACCTTACTGTTTTATGTGGATGTAAAGTCTTGAATATATTTTGGGAAAAAGGTATAACAATGCAATGTAGGGTGGAGAAGCTGAAACCATGAAATTACATTTTACTTTCAAATTTGAATTTGTTTATTGATGAAAACTTTGATAGTGTCAGACAAGTGCTATATTTTAACTCTTAACAATTTGGAGCACACTGGACTCAAGCTTCAATTACTAATCCCATTTCCTGCCCTTTGCTTCCTGTCCAGATCGGTTCTCCGTGTTAGCCAACAATAACCTGCAGATCCTCAACATCAATAAAAGTGATGAAGGAATCTACAGGTGTGAAGGCAGAGTGGAAGCTAGGGGAGAAATTGATTTTCGGGATATTATTGTTATTGTTAATGGTAAGTATCGAATACGATGTGTCTCTTCTATTGCTCATTTCAGCAGCATGTTTATTAAAAAGGCAAGTGGGTCAACTGCGCACTGAGTACTTCCTTCGTGAATATGTTCTGTGCCTAAGAGAAATCGCCCCATATCTGATAGGAACTGTCTGTATGACATCCAACTCGCCCAGCGGCCCTCCTCGTACCACTCTTCCAGCTGTAAGCTGCCCTCTGTCACATGTGAACTTGCAGAGACAGAGACAGGCAGCACCCTGTAAAGTATCACACTAGGTTCAATTTTAAGTCCAATAAGTCACTTCTTTTATTGTTTAAATTATTTTTAACATTATCCGCCTCTTCTCAACTTAAAAATTGCATTCAGAAGTGCACTTTTCAAGTGTCAGCAGTCTATCCCTGGATCGATATCTTTATTTATTTGAATCTCTATGCATCTCTTATCTACTTATTGTAGAAAATAAACAAGGGTAACAAATAATGAATATTTAGTTTAATTATTGATTCAACTATCGACTGTTTTTTCCTAAAAATGTATGGAAGCAAATGATCTTATGTTTCATATTCTTTTATGAACATGGGATATGAATTGATATAGATAAAAGTTTTTTTAAAATTTTCAGGTTTATAGGAAGGAGTACAGAAGCATTTACTCTTTCAGGATTATTGTATGTCATTACATACACATACGTATAAGTATTTATATATTAAAATATTAATGTCTACATGATAGTAACAAGAAAATACTACCTATTTAGCATAGAATGCTAATCTTTGTTATCTATATTGATGTCATAATTTCTTCTTTATGATATTCTTTGTTACAGTTACTGCAGGCCCTGTTTGCATACTATGATCCATATTTATGTATTTATAATTACCTTCCATTTGATGGAATGATTATATGAGTATGAATATGCATCCATATAACAAAGTATGAATCTTCAGTTTCATTATGGTCTGTCTTCCAACTAGAATACTTAGTTCCATATTTTCCCACAATTCAGCAGAACAGACTGAATGTTCTATGCTGTGTCAATCAGAGCAGGTGTGTAGCGAATGTCCTGTTTTGTCTGTGTCAGATTGATATTCCTCAAAGTAAGTCATCCACATCTATCTTTCCTCTAACAAAATCAGCCACAGTTTCCAATCTGACATTTCGTGCTTGAACAATGCTAAGTAGGCCCCTTTTCCCTTCATAGACGCGTGTTTTGGGACCACTTTTCTTTGAAAGTACAATATTCCCAGGATCCAGCCTTGCCTCCATTCTCTAGGAGATGAAACCAGCACTCTTCAGAGAAAACTGTACTTTGCTCTCAATTCTGCCTTGACTTTAGTCAGGAAAAGCCCCCTATCTGTCCGAGCGTTATTTGGGCCAGGGATCTAACTCAGCGACACCCGCACCTGCCTGGCAATGCAACGACGTGAGTTCTACCTCTGGGACCAAAACACAAACAAAAAAAGTCAAGCACTATTTTCTCTTGCCGTGCTTACTGGCTCCTTTTAAATATTGAGATTCTAAAGAAGTGTTCTCTTATTAGTATAACCTCGTATGATCCCTTGGAGGTTTTTTAGTGAAATATTTGAGACTGCAAATAGTAATATTCAAAGCTGTAGTTCCACATTATTTTAGATTTGTTCAGTTATGTAATCTGAGTTGCTCCATATATTACCCCCAATTATATTCTGTGCATTCTCCCTGAGTTTTTGCACTTTGTCTTTACTAATTTGGCTGTTTCTCTCATCCTTTTATGCTATTCTCTCATCTTCTGCCAAGTCTACTGACATCAGGGCCACATACTCACCCAACAGCTGTCCTTGTGCAGTACTAGCTTGATAAATTGTGCGTCTGTCCAAAGCCCTACTTTTATTACATTGTTTGTGCTTTGTAAAGCTTTCCCCCTCATTTGATCAACTCATGATAGTTTCCTTCTTGTATCAACTCATAGTATTTGGTTTCAACAGTCAGTTGGAAAAAAGATATCCTTGTTAGATTCCTCTGCTATTTGCTGCTTGCTCCTTGCTACTTCTGTGTAGTATCCACAATAATGCAGAATGTGAGGGATCTATTGTTATAAGTTCTTCTGAAATATGTATTCTAAAAATACATATTTCTCAATGCCTGTGCATGGTTCTCCACAATAATCCTGCTTTTAGCAAGTTCAGGAGTCACTGTCACTGTCCATGCCCACCTGAAATGAGGTGCCTCGCCATCCTATTGAGCCTGGGACCTGCTCTAGCAAATGACATATAAGCAAATAGAATATGCACCAACTAAGTGACACCATTTATATCATTAATCTCTGTGTTTTCTGCTGTAAAATCACTGAACTTACATAGGAGCTACATCTTTGGTGCTATATTCAAGACATGTGAAACAGAATTGCTGCTGATCTGTGGGAGCACACACAGGAGTACAAATAAAGCATGTTATTAAACAAAGAAACTGTAAAGTTATTATTACAAGAAAGTCAGCACTCTGCTGATTATACACTTCCTGATATATTAAAGTGGACAAGCTCTTGAGTAGCTTAGGTAAAATTCAGACTGCAATTACATGAAGCATAAAGTTACAAGTACATGGTACAGTTGAGGAATGTATGTAGAGAGGTAAAAATTTATTAACGTAGGTCTAGTAGTTGCAGCCAACTCTTAAATGGGATATGTAGGGAGGATATGTTTTATACTCTGCCAAGAGGACATGAGTGTAACATAGGTGACAAAGAGAAGGAATTCACAGATAGGTCTGGTTAATGATTTAAGATAAACCTTTCTCTTTACTTCAACACTCTATGTTTAATTATATGGCTTTCCTTCTTTTATTTTTCCTTGATACTTTGAAATAGTTGTTTATGCTCATGTTTAGTTGTTACTGGATATTCAGACATGGTTTCTAGCCTACCTGAAACTGTTTTTGTTGTTGCTGCTGTTTGTTAAGTAGCCCATCCTTGTGACTGCCTTTGTTTTGTTACCATAATTTCCCTGAACCTTCAATAATGTATGAAAATATTCCAGAGCATATCAATATTTACTGAATTATAAAACAAAGCGTATAAAAAAACATTGAAAAGCCGTTCTAGCACCAAGTATATCAGTAATATGATTGAACCTGCCAACCATACAAACAGCTAGGGTTTTTCTTTTTGTTGTTGTTCTTTTTGTTTTTTCTTTTGCTTGTTGCAGTAGTAGAGGAATTGAACTAAAGACCTTATGCATGCCAGGCAGGCACTTATACCACCAAGCTATATCCCTGGTACAGCTAGTTTTTTAAGTAAAAGATTGAAATGTCAGAATGATTCTATAATTATAACATATACCATGCAGTAAATAAGTTACTAAGCATAGAAAATTAAGCACTTATCAGAATAGGAATATTTTCTGATTTATTTTGTATTGGGATTAATTGAACTCAGAACCTTGTGCTTGCCAGGCAGGCACTGTGTTGCTGAGCTACCTCTCTGGCTTATTTTCTAACTTTATTTTTTCTCTAAAAATACCATTAAATTTCAAAGACTAGTAGAGTCAAGAAATAATATAAGGTGACATCTACTCATATTTTTTTCAATCTTCTTTATCGATTATTTTTGGAATTTTCAGGCTTTAGAATTTAGACAGAGACAGAGAATGAACCATTGACATAAATCTAAATGAATTTTCGCAGCCTTTGTTTTCCCACAGGTGGTCAGTATAAATTAATACAGTTCCTTATCTTCTTTTCATTGTTGATGATTCTTGACCACTCAGGTTTTTCTGGGACACTTACAGTGGCATTATATCATATTGGAATTACTGTCGAGATGAGTATTTATTTTCCAACATAACTATTGTAATCCTTGGTAAGATTATGGAAAAAGCAGAATTTCTTCAGTTTTAAGTCATGTACAATCTCTGCATTCACCTGCCTCCCAGATGGCAGTCTTTTGTTGTCATGTAGAAAATGAGGCTGGGTGTTCATTTTTAATCTTAATGTTACACTGAAACACAAAACTGAGTCCTACTGATTATAGTGAAAAGAATAACTTTACAAAGGAATTTAAAGAAATCTATAAGGGGAGTAAAATGCTATAATAATACAAAATTTTACTATTTCATAGAACCAATCAGTTAAATAAAAGCCACCATTAAAATGACCTGACTGAGGTTCGGTGGCATAGATCTGCAGTCCTAGATACTCAGGAGGATGAGACAGGAGCATTTCAAGTCTGAGGCCAGCCTGCAAAACTTGAGAGAACCTGTATTAAGATAAAAACACCAAGCCAAAAAATGGACTAGGGAGGCAATCAGTGCAGAAGGAATTTAATCCTCAGTTTTGTAAAACAAAAAAACTTTGATATTAACAGCTGCATGGCATTCTGAACAGTCAGTGTCCAAATGACTCTGAAGAAATGTTCAGGAGTTCTATTCCTCTACGTGTGCTGCACTAAGATATCACTAAAAAGTAGTATTGGTGTTATTCATATTTTAAATTATTGATAAGGGCAAGGGAGATAACTCAGTAGAATAAGTGCCTGTCTGGCAAGCACCAGGTCCTGAGTTCAATCCGCAGTACCACAAAAAGAAATAAGTAAATAAAAATAAAAAAAATATTGATGACCTTGCTTTCAGTTTTGAGTTATGTTTTACAAATTTTAATGAAAGTGTAGATCAATATATGTGTTGAAATTAGGGAAATTTGTTAAGAAGCAGAGAAAATTCAAGTTCAATAAGAAATACCTAATCCACATTTCTACATAATATACATTTTTGGTAGTAGATTGTGTTCTTTATCAAAGTTTCTCCTTTTCTTTCTCTTTCTAGTAGAAACAATTAATGTCACTTACTCTCTCACTTTCTCTTGTGTGCATGTCTTTTCCAACCAAGATGATTTCTGTTTTCCTTATGTCATAATTGATGCATTATTTCTAGCAAGCATTTCTTAATTCCATCAAAATTATTACACAATTTCCCCTCATGAGATTTTATCTCGGACTATTTTAATAATTTTTCCAAGGTTCAGTTATTTG